CTCCCTCAGTTAGTTTTGAGGCTAACACTAAGAATAACATGCTGAGTGCTTTCTTTTCAGTTTACTATAGATTTCATCAATATTTCAAGTTATTCTTCTTGTTCTTTCCCCAGTGGAAATGGAGCAGAGCCAAACATATATTATAGACAGAGAAAAAAAATACAACAAAATTAAAAGTCAACAAAACAAAATTCATACATTAGTTTACTTTTTCAATATTTACTTTCTTGTTCTGTTCTGTATAAAATCTATGTATTACAACGATCAGATATACTTTAAAAGACTTAGAAAAGCTGATCATTTCAAAATCTCGGACACATCCTATGAAAATAATTGTTTTTGAGACTCCCCTGACTTTTGTTTCATTAAGAATTAAAGAATTTGTGCGAAAGCTGCGCAGCTGTGCTCTGCGCAGCTTTGGCCCCTCCCTTCAGCACTTCTTCTGTCGCCTTCATGACGTCATTATTGTTGGCGGTATTTTGAAACGGAGGAAGCCTCACAAGCTGTTCGTGGACATTAAAAAAGTGTGGCTTCATAAACATGGTGAGAATACTCGAGTTATGACGGATCTATATTGTTTTATATGTATTTACAAATGTGTTACTGTTGTTTTCAGGTTTTAAAGAAAGTACGATGAGTTTAAAGAGTGTTTGTCTCGTTGTGTGTGTGTGAAAAGTTATTAAGCCGACACGTTTCGTTGTGTGTTAGCTCCGTGCTGAGGTGGAGGAGAGAGCAGCCGGAGAGGCAGCAGCAGCTGGGCTATCAGAGGCCGCTCACCTCGAGCTGCTGGAGCTCTGCGAGGAGCAGTTCACTCACCTGGAGAAGGTAAACATCCACGTTCCTCCATCAGTCAGAGACTTCCTTTAACCAGGAGCTGCAGGATAACCCACATAGCGTGTCTGTGTTGCAGCTTCAGAATGAAATCATACTTTGTGAACCTGAATTTTCTGAGAATCTCCAGGAACAGGTGAGATAAGCTGTGTTCTCTCTTTGCACTTGTGCCAAATTCCAGTCCTCCTGCAGGTTTTAGATGTTTCTCCAGTTTGACCTGAGTGAATAGATGAGTGATGAACAGTAGAGCTTGAATCTGCAWCAAAACAACTAAAACATGCAGGTTGGTGGTTGTCAAGGACCAGGATTTGATACTGTTTTTATATAGTTTGCAAAATCCACATCATTTGTTTATATTTTGCGTAAGGTAAACATCTATATTGTTTTAAGCTGGTGTGTTCATTTGTCTAAAAGACAACAGATAAGAAAACAAAGAAATATTTTGAATAAATTACACTGCTCCAACAAATAAAGGGAACACTTAAACAACACACGCTAAGTCCAAGTAAATCAAACTTTTGTGAAGCACATTCAACTCTGTACAGAACAAAGTACTCAATGCGAATATTACATTGATTAAGATCGGGAGTTAGCGTGCGTTGTTTAAGTGTTCCCTTTATTTTTTGGAGCAGTGTACTGTATATATATTTATTTAGATTTATATTGCGCTTGTACACCAGAAGTATAACTTCATACTTCCCTTGCGAGAACTTTGTCTAAAATTGACTTTTCTATTTAAATAACTTAATAATTGTTTATACATGTGTTGTGTTTTCTGTAATTGTGAATATTCCTCTTCAGTCAGTAAATGGGCTGATTGCAACAGAAGCTGAACTGAAGCAGTGGCTGTCAGTGGAGCCGAGCTGTAAGTCGCTGCAATATAATTTCATTGAAATATTTACCACTGAAATATTAATACTGCAAATCAAAGCCAATGCTGTTCCACACTTTGCATCACATATTACTATTTAATTATGAATTTATTGTTTTCTGGCTTTCACGAGTTAGGATATTTTCTATTCTGATGTGCAATTTTCTCTTTGGCATGTTTAAAATTTATGATCCTTTCTTGTTTACATCCCCCAGTGTTGCCAAGTAATTCAGAAATTTTACTTCAAGCTGGAAAAGAGGAAGTATGTTTGTGTGTACAATTCAAACCATGAGAAAGTTCAGAACAAACCCAGCTTTTCTTCAAATCATTTCCTCTCTTTGTTCTCTGCAGATGCTCAAACTGTGCTCCGAACTTGAAATGGTTGTTTCTTGTTATGAAGCAAAACGAGACAAACTGAAAGAGACTAAAGAGCTGTGAGACACATTTTTTTCTTTTTTTTTTTTTGTTGTTATTCTGCATCCTTTTATAATGTTTTCTGTTTCTTCAGAGCACATAAATATTTTATCCAAGACTAAATCTAATTCTCTTTGTTTTTGTCTGATGTTTGAAAGTGAACAAAAATGGCTGGAGGAGAAGAAAAAGGTGCTGGTCGCTGTAACTAATCACTTTGAACGACTTAAAATGGAAAAAGAGAAATTTTCAGGACACAGGTGGGTGTGATAAAGAAAATAAGAACTTAAATAATACGAAAATAGAGCTGTGTATTCACTGCTCATTGTGAAAATACAGCTTGAACGACGAGTGGGTACAAAAATCTTAGTCCCCATCTCCTGAATGAGCTCATTTTTTGACATATGATGGACAAAAGCATGCGGAAGTAGTTATACGGCTAAAAATGTATAAAAACAAAACACAAAAATTTTTTTTGAAGCAATAGTTCAATGCTGAGTCAGCATTCAAACTTAAAACCAAAGTGGTTCATTTTTTAGAGAGAATTCATAGCAGATGGCTGCAAAATACATACAAGTGTTAGAAAATAATACAGTTCTGTCGAACTGAATGATTGTTGACACCTTTAAATAAATTGTGGTTATTTAAAGAAAAATCTTTTACATCACATGTGTATCCAGCATTCTGCTGGACACGAAGGAAAAAATCCAGAAGATGAAGGCCTACCACGAGAAGCTGATGGAGACTCTTGGTGACGTTCTGGAGGTCCACGTTCCTCTCCTTCAAAACGAAACCAGTTCAAGCAAGAAGAAGAAGGTGCAGTAAACCTCTTTGCTCTACAACATACTGTAGATCTCTGTGGTTCTGTGGTTCACCTTCCACACGTCTGATTTTGCTTTCAGAACATTGAACAGGAGATAAGTGAGGACCTTATTTCACTGGGTGACATCCTGGAGGTGGGTTTGCACAGAATCAACTGCTCAGATATCTGGGATAAATGTAAAAAGTGTTGATCTTTTTTCATCCTAACAGTTTATACCATTTTGTTCTTCACATCTGATTTTTCCTTGTGGAACACTACTATTTTCTCGCTTTTAGCTTTGTTTTTGTCTATTCTTTTGTGCATTTGTTTGTCTAGCTCACGAACCACAAACATTATGTAATAAACTCTCAGAAAGTATTTAACTGATCCACAAATGCTTAACTTTTGGAGTCAACTCAATTCAGGATGCCTGCTGCAGCTGACAAAACATAGCAAACAGCTTTCGTGTTTACAGATATACTGTATTCTGCACAGTCTGTGAGAACACACTGAGTTGTTACAAATATGCAGTATTTAAATAGCTAAGAATAAATCATTTTCTAAAGATCTTGGGTGAAGTTACAAAGTTATTAACCAGTGTCTCAACAGGGAACAGGATGTGAGTTCTTACGGTTAGCCGAGGCATTTTTGCTCSTTGTTCTGACCTCTGGTTGATCCAGACTCTGTAAATATTTTTGTGTTTAACCTTCAGGAGTTCTGTCTGTAGATAATTCCTTAGCATTTTTCAATAAAAACAACATCTCCACTTGTAATCAATAACAGATTTAGTTAAAACTGTTTTTCTTGCATAAAACCTCTTTTTGACCTCAATAAATAGCAAAAAAAATAATAATCATAACTGAGTTTCAGTCTTCAAATGCAGTTGTTTTTACTTCTTGTTATTTTAACACTTTTATTATAAACATTGTGTACATGTTTATTTACTTTAATTAGTGCTGAGATGCTCTGTAATTTCTTTATCTCAAGGGAAAGTAAGCAGTAGAACTGAAGATGCATCCTCATATTTTAATCGTTTTAAAGAAAACAAGCCTAATATGACTTTTTTACGGCACGCTGTTTGACATGTAATTAATTTTCTTAATAACACTGCATGCATATTTTTTTTACATCAGCAGGTTGCATTATCTTGTGTATTGCATTAATTGCTTCAGTAGTAACTGACTCATTATTAATGTTGTTAATTAAACCTGCATTTTTTTCCACCTTTAACCACCGCTGGAGTACTTTGTCCACCCTGCAGTTTTGTTGTAAAGACTGAGCTATCATCTGTCGGTTATTTAAACCAAAATTACTAAGACTTTACATTTTTGCGTGAATTCAAAACTTTTGTTTTACTTCATAAGTGTAAAAATTAGGTCTACAAACACTGTTCTTTCTCACTGCTTTGGTAAATGCTCATTTAAACAAAAGGTGGTTTAACTGTCAGTCTTTGTAAATTTGACTTAAGTATAGCCCGTTTTGTGTTTGTCATTGTCGGTTAGCTGCAGCGGCCATTTTGAATTAGGTGACTTTGGAAGGTGATCATTTGTAGATGTTTAATTAGTGATAGCTTTATTGGTGCAAATATAAGAAGTGCAAACAAATACATAAATCAAAGTTTTGGTTGAGTTTTACAGACACCTGCAGACTGATTCATTGCATTTCCATTATTGTATAATTAATTGTTCTTTAAATGTGGTTTTTCGTGAAGGCAGATTAACATTGTCACATCCAACATAGTTCCAGAAAATCCCTAAAGCTCTCCATCTCTTTGACATCTGCAGGTTCTCATGAACAAAGCCCTGGAGACACCACACGACCCGTAYGTAACGATCGATCACACGTTCTGGCCTCCCTACGTAGAGATGCTTCTCCGACATGGGATCGCCGTGAGACACCAGGAGAATAACTTCAAGATCCGCCTGGAAAATTTTTTCTAATTCACTTGTCCTTTTAGCTTCTTAAACACCACTGACTGGCAGAAGTTTTAATTCTGTCTTCAGATATGAAGAGTGTCTGTGCTGAAGAAGTACATAGATGAGTGATTTACTGTGCTTCTGGGTGTGTCACAGTTGTACAAAGCATTAGTTTATTTAGGCCTATAAGGTGTTTTATGTGTTTTGTATTTATAGTGTTTGTTATTTTAACTATAATCAGTCTAGTTTCAAGTTTGAATTTTAAAAAGTGTTTTTTATACTGTTCAATGTGTATAAGTTTAATTATATATGTGCTTAAAATGTTGGTTTTTTTGCAACATATTTACTTAGGCTCTGTTTAAACTTTAATTGGGTTTGCCTGTATTATTTTGTTTTCTTAAAAATGTCATGTCCTTGAATACACTCTAACATATTTTAAATCGATCCTCAATTGTCTTAATTGGGTCTAAATTTTAAGTTTTATAGTTCTTAGCTTACCATAGTATATTAGCTGAAATTGCTAGATATGTTTACAATTCACTGTTTATATTCACATTTTTGTCTTTAACAAGCTTGTAATGTACAGGTGTGTGTTGATCAATTTATAAATGATGTATGTGCAGAGTTGCAGTGATTAAAATAAAATTCATACTTAAATTGTATTTTACAGTCTTTTAAAACAGTGTCACAAAATTGAAACTGCAATACAAATGTCATTGAAAATAATAATTCACTTTATCTTTGTAAAAAAGAAATGTATGCTCAGGGGCTGCTCATTAACTTTCCAGAAGTCAGTAAAATGCTAAATATTTTTTGTGTAAAAATGTCAATACGATGTACAGAACTAGGAAAATGAAATAATGCCAGGGGGTAAAAAAACAACAAAAAGAAAACATGTCAAATGAAAAACATAGTGCATGAACAGAGAGTAGTTCAGGAAGTACAGTTAAATAATTTTAAGGCTTCAACAGTCTTTACAGCTTTGGGATTAGTTGAGGTCCGAATGGTTTCTACATAATGTAGCAGTTCAGACAAAAATAGATTAAAAAGACGCTTCTTGGCAGAAAATTTGCACTTATGAATATGAAATTCATCTAAAATTAATAATAAATTAATTACACAAAGCTTTTTTTTTTCTTAGAGGGGCAGAAATTGTAAAAACCAAAAAGTACATCTGTATATAAGGAGGGAAAATATTGATTTGAGACTAAATGTGGTAGTTTTGAAAAGTAATATTTAAAATAAATTGTTGCGTCAAACGACGTCATGACGTTTGACCAATCCTATGCGTACGGCGCGTCAGCTCTGCTGCTCTTGTGGGCGGAGCGCAAATTCCGGTTCCGGGTGTTTTTATATYGCAGTCGGAGGCTTTCGAAGACCTCTGATTATGATATTAAATCAGAAAAATCTCTCGACTCGCTCCGATTGAAACAGTTTTCTTTTATTTAAGGAAGTTCCACTAAAATCCGTGAATATGACGACCCGCTCGGAGAGGGAAAAGGCCCAGAAACTCAACGAGCAGCACCAGGCCATCCTGTCCAAAATGCTGAGGGAGGAAGACAACAAGTACTGCGCCGACTGCGAAGCGAAAGGTGCGGCGCTCACCACACCACAAACTGGTTTTTGTACTCGTCTAAAATAATACTTGTGWGATTCGGAACCGGACAATTGGGTAAAAAAAATGTCGAGTTATCTCTGAATAGCTTGTCTAAGCTAAATGGCTCAGGCTCGTCAGCTGACCGTTCTTTCCTCCGAAGTTGCTAACTAGCGAGCTAACTTCTGTAAATCCACCTAAGCTGTCCCTCTGCTGCTCCGTACCCGGCTTTAACAAACAGCGATTGTTCCTTCGAAGAAACTCGAGTCTTGTTTTCATGTCGGGGCATTTGGAAAGAATGCAGAGCTTCCCTTTGGCACTTAAAGCCGAAGCAAGATCAGGCTTGTTTAATGTTGAGTAGCTGCGCTGCGTTGCACATCTCACGGTTTTAATAATCATCCAACACAGGTCCTAGATGGGCATCCTGGAATCTGGGAGTTTTCATTTGCATCCGGTGCGCAGGCATCCATAGGAACCTGGGTGTACACATATCCAGAGTGAAATCAGTCAACCTGGACCAATGGACCACAGAACAAATCCAGGTATTGTTTCCTAATTTAATTAAATTATGTGACATGTAACCTGCTTAGTCTTGTTTGAGCTTAAGCAGCTACACTTCTGCTTTACATGGGCATCTCTTTTCATTTGCAAGAAGTAATAAAAAATAAATAAATAAACACAAGTACTGTATTTTTGTTTAAAATCATTGTCCTGGTCAAACAACTGATTTGGTAAAAGTAACTTGAGTAGCTGTGAAAGGAGGCTGATTTACTATGATTACAGAGCCGCATAGCGTCATTTAGTGTCAAGCATGACGTTGCATGTTTTTGTTACAACCATTTAAAAACTTCTGAAATAAGAGCTAATAAAGTCTTAAACTAGGGCTGCTCATCAATCCATCCATTTTCTTTACCTGCTTTCCCTTTCGCGGGAAGCTGGTGCCCATCTCCAGCAGTCACTGTGCAAGAGGCGGGGTACCGCCCGGACAGGTTTCAGGTCCATCACAGGGACACATGGAGACAAATGACACAAAGAGCCTTTAAACACTGACAGCTAGGGATGATTTAGAGCTACAGATTAACTTAACATGCATGTTTGGTCTATGAGAGGGAAATGCAAGAAAACACTTGCATGCACAGGCAAAACATGCAAACTCCACCTTGCAAGGCCCCAGGCCATGAGGCAATCCTGTGACCTTCTCACTGAGAGATGACAGCTCTAACCAATACATTACACCAGGTCTGCGTAGGATATATTGATGTCAGTGTGTACAATATTGCAAAGGATTTAAAAAATCATTCACAGACACAAACTTCATGCAAAAATGACAAATTTGGCAATGAAATCTCTCTTTTGCTCTTTTAAATGCCTACAGCCAGCACAAGGAGTGTTGTGAACATTGCAATGACAGACTCGGTGGGATATCACAGACAATATCATCGTTGCAATATTCTGTAATAATATTGTAATCATATGTTTTCCTAATAAGCAGCCCTATATAAACACTAAGTAATGAAAAAAAATAAGTTTTATTACTACAGTATTTGCTGTCCTCTGTACCAGAGGTGATGCAGCAGTAAAGTCAAACTGTTTATGTTTTTGTGAAAACATGAAATTGTACTTTTGCAAAAGTTAATAATCTTTGACTGATTTATGTTTTTTACTGGGGCTGTACAATGTATCGGAAATTTATCGTCAACACGATAACAGCCTGTTCAATCTGCATATCAAATGGAGCCCTTCGTGTATTTGGCCAATTGGATGGATCTCTCCATATTTAAAAAAAAATCATGCTGGAATGGAAATTATTATTTTTGTTTTTTGCTCTGAACCCAGAGCAGGAAGACATCAACACTACATATTTGTTCATTTATCACAAGTCATATTGTCGTTGCACTGTTATCACATCACAGGTTGAGAAGTGTAGCACCCTCAGATTCTGTTTTTAAAACTTCCTTAAAGGCACAATGTGTAGGATTTGTTGTTTTCTGCGACATCTAGTGGTTGAGTGGTTGAACCATCCTCCCTGGTCCTCCCCCCACCCCCACCGCCCGCTTCCAAACACAAAGGAGTTGCTACGGTGTCTCTCAGGTGTCAAAAACCTTTGATAATTCCAACCGCGATGTCTACCAGCAGCTTCAGGGCTAGTGATGTTTCAAGTGGTAAGATTATGAGCTTTAATAAGTAAAATTATCCCAGCTACAATGACAGACAACAAATATTACATTTATAGTATTACAACTAAAATCGGTTTTGACGCCGCCACCGCAGTTTGTCCTTCATGAGCCTTCGTAGACAAGATGGCGGTGCAAGATGGCAGCTGCCTGTGTGGCRACCCGCGACCATGGAGATATAAACAGCTTTTTATAAAGGTAAAAAATAATAAAACAAGGTCTTTGTCTGCAATGATTAGACATGTTTTTTATTATTGTCATTAGTGATTATCTCAATTTCGGCTAAAAGAATTGACAAAATCCTACACACTGTGCCTTTAAATGTACCCAGTTTACGTCACCGAGGTTGTTCGAGGTTCAGCTCTGCTCTCAGATCTGGATCCAGGTTTTATCTGTATTTCGTTTCGTTTGAACTGGTAGTCTCTCTGCCGCTCTTTGATAAGGTCGAAACTACAATAAGCAAACTAATCACCATGTAGTTAACCAGCAGTTCAATGTGTTGTTTCAAATCTGCTTACAGAGTATACAGGACATGGGTAACACAAGGGCCAGGCGGCTTTACGAGGCCAATCTTCCAGACAGCTTCAGAAGACCTCAAACGGACCAGTATCCTTTGCTCTCACGAACGTCGCAGCATCACACGTTTAATGTCATTCTTTGAACACATCGCTTGTGTTGCCTCTTAACTCTGCCATCAGAGCAGTTGAATATTTCATCAGGGATAAATACGAGAAGAAGAAATATTACAACAAGAATGCGATCAATGGGAGCAGTGTACGTATCGATCCAGACTATTATGTGAAATAAAAAAAATGAAACAGGTGTTTAACCTGTTTTTTATTTGTTCTGTCAGCCGAAAGACAGAAAAGAAGACAGGGAGCCGGACAGAGCGAGCAAGGTGTCCTCTTACACCAAGGTAAGTCTCATTTGCTCGTTCCTGCATTAATAAAACAAACACCGAGTTATTTTCTGCTGTGTCCTGAGTCTGCTCCGCTGCTTTCAAATGTTTAGAGCGAAGAGTCCAAGCCAGTCCCCAAAGTCAGCCCTGCTAAGTCTTCAGAACCTTCTGTGAACCTACTAGGCCTTGGTGAGTGGAAACTGTGCAAACTTAAACATTATTTATGACATCGGGTTACACAAGATGTCAAACTGTAAGTTCTTATTGACAGATTGCAGGTTGTAAACGAAGCTGTTGAGTTACACTGCCATGTGCTTCGAATGTCATAAATCTTGATATTCACACTCACTTTATGGAATTAGGATTTTATTTGCTCTGTGTCTGAGATGCTTTCACCATCCAGGTCTGATTCATTTTGTCTCTGAGCTGATTCTCCAAACTCTATAGATCAGTCGTTTAGAGAGGAAGCTTCATCTTCTAAATACAGTTTGTCGCCAGTCAGCGCACGTTACCCAACAGACCTGATGTCAGCACATTATTTGCATCTAACTAGAGCAGTTTCACTTCCACTCTGTTTCAGAGCTGCAGTGAGTTTGTTTTCAACTCTAACAAAACATTTTGCCTCTGCTTTACACCAAGCATGACTATTTTTTTTGTGAGACTGCAAGAGGAAGTGCAAAAGCTGCCGACATCGGACCACTTCTTGTTTTGTTAGAAAACTAAACGTATTTCGATTTTGACATTCGTGGCAGCTCAGTCTGTAGTGTGAGAGGAAACTGTTAGATGATACGCAGGGAAGTAGCTAAAATGAGGACATGGAGCAGTTTGAAGCTTTATGTGGGGGAAAAACCAAGTGGTTTCTGTATTTTAATAGAGATTTTGGTTCTTATTTATAGGTTTTCTATAGATAATGTTGAATCACTCAGTTTATATCAGAGAATGTCCAGTCCTGATCCTCAACAGCCACTATCCTACATGTATTAGAGGTTTCTGATGACCTGCTTTATCTCTAAAGCATCACATAAAAGTCCAGTGAATATAAAGACTTTCCCACAGCTCTCTACTTTAATATCATGTTTTAGGGAGTGTTGACAGAATTAGGAAACAAGTGAATCACACTGAAATCAAGTTTCATTTACCATATGACTGTATTCCACCCGTAAAACCAGTTTGTCCGTTCCAGACGCACCAGCCGCCGCATCAACCAACAACACTAGCACGAGCACAAGCCAGAGCAACGACCTGGATATATTCGGCCCCATGGTGTCCAACCCCCTCCCGTCGTCCACATCCACAGCTCAGTTCTCTCAGGTAACAACCAGGCGAGGAGTCCCCCGAAACCGAGGCAGATTTGGGCTAGACCGCAGTGGTTTCCTAACTGACATTAATTAGAACTGATAACCATTAACATGAAGAGACAACAAAGCTGTCACACAGACAGTAAAACTCTCAGCTCCAATAAAAAGTAAGCAGAAACACATTTTCTGTTCTCCTTTGCTTTGATTTCCACAAAAGATGATATCCTGCATATTTGTTGCGGTTTCAGATGTGAACACTCAAGAGGTACAAACTGAAATGTTGACACCTCGTGTCAAATGTTTTAAAGCATTAATAAAGGAATTTCCTCGCTGTTCCAAAGGTTTAGGATCTTTAGGACTTTTTAAAAAAAAAATTCCTCTCTCCAGGTGAGCTCCAGCGACTCGGCCAGTACTCCGACACAACCTCCAGCTGCTGCAGGAGCGGCTGCAGGAGGAAACGGAGCCAGCTCAGGGTCAGGACAGGGCGACCTCGACCTGTTCGGTGAAAGCGGTAGCACCACTAAAACCGAGGACGCAGCCAAGAAGCCTCTGTCCAAGGACTCCATCCTGTCTCTGTATGGAACCAACAGCATGCCTCAACAAGCCCCCGCTGGTGAGGAGATTTAATTCTTCATAGAAACTGAAGTACTACGACTGACATAGTACTTTTTGTTTTGAACAGTGTCTAACAGAACAAAAAGATATATTTAAAGTTAATAAAGGAGGCCAAAATATATATTTTTGCAAACAAGCAAATTAAAGTGTCATCTTTTGTTGTTTTTGTGTTTAAAGCTTAACAATAGACATCATGAAACAAAAAAAATCATAAGTCGGCATGTATTTATTTTTATTATTATATTTTTATTTATTTATTTTGCAGGGTTCCCCCAAGTCCTTGAAATCCTTGAAAGTTTGTGAATTAAAGATAGGATTTCAAGGACCTGGAAAGTTTCTAAAAACAGCCAAAAAAATACACTTGTCCTCGAAAGTCCTTGAATGTTTTTTGGGGATTGAAGTTCTCTATTCACAAGTGATTTCATTATCTGTAAAAACACAGATTAACTCTCAGTTCTGCATGAATTCATACAAACAGGTAACATCAGTGACATCACAGCACACACTGACTGTCCTAGTACCAGAAGATCAAACCATTAATTTATCTAACAAAACACATGTGACACATGCTAACACAGCTTTCTTATGATTGACAGTTTCTTTACATCAATCTTTCCTGACTATATTTGACTAACTTTTTAAACTCCATGTTTGTTTCTCCTCAGCTGGCATGTTCATGGGCCCCTCTCAGATGCAGTTTCCTGTCCAGGCTCCTGCCGGCTACCAGGCTTTCCCTGGGATGGGCACAGCCGTGCCCCCCACCACCGTCATGGGTGCCATGATGGCTCAGAGCGGGGCGGCCATGATGGGACCCACACCGGGCATGATGGTTGGGATGACGATGCCGAACGGCTTCATGGGGAACGGGCCACCCGCCGGCATGATGGGCATGACCCCCAGGATGATGGGACCACAGGGGGCTCCGATGCCTGCGGGCATGGTGCCGGCTCAGGGCATGTACGCCATCCAGCCGGGGCAGCAGGCCCAGTGGAACATGGGTCAGGTACGGAGACCACTCGAGCCATTTTAAAATGTTTCCTAAGCAGCTCCATTTTACAGTTTCCACTGTTAGTGTTGTGTTGTTTTTAGGGTTGGGCATCATCGTATCGTGTGCAATTAATCGTCAGAAAAACATTAATCGATTACTTTTTGGCACTTGACGATTAATGCCACCATCAGTCTGCTCGGTGCTCTTCTCCGCTTCAAATATGACCAACGTTAAAAAGAGGAAGTTCTGAATTTATCTATCAACACAATTTAAAAATTGATGTACACCCTGAAGTCTGTAATTTTGACACAATTTGGAACAGATTTTTACAAAGAGCAAATCTTTCCTACTAAATTGGTCATTTGACTAGGGCATGCAGTGTCGTCCAGGCACTCCAGGGGATTAATCGTCAAATTAATTGTTATCGGCTAAATACCACAATTAATCGTGATTAATTTTTTTGCCAATATTGCCCAACCCTAGTTGTTTTGTGTTGTGTTACTGTCAGTGACTCTCCTGAGGGGTGTCATTTGTCACACATGTAGTTGCAGTAGCTACGTTCACTATAATGCATTACCTCCTGCACCCACTAGATGGCAGCACAAACTTCATATTAGAATTAGAGCTGGGTGTTTAATCTTCTCGTGGTTTTTTTCAAGATTCCTGTGAGTGTTGAATTCTGTATCTTTAAACACAAATGATGCTAAAAACAATGATTTGTTTATTTATTTACACAGAGACGATGAACAACATTTCATTAACCTTTTAAAAGGAGAGGTGCGTGGTACCAGGTTCCACCTGCAGTCCCTGGGCAGGTTGATTTAATCAAATATGATTTAACAGATTATGATATGGTGAAAAGCCAGTTTGTTAAATGATTACATTCATGTTTAGAAAATGTTTATTTAGATCTCACTAAAACCAAACTACAAACTAACACAGTTCATAAAACAATTTAATTTACTTGCAGAAATCACAAGTAAACTGTGTCATTCTTAAAAATTTGTTGCAAGCTGTAAAAACATGCAAAAGTTTATCTGAAATCCCGTCATAGTTTGAAAGATTTTACCCGGGTAGTTTTCCAGGTTTATAAACATGCACATCTGAAATGTGGGCAGGCACTCAATGTAAACAAAGTAGCTGAATCTGCTGAAAACCATATAAAAGCTTGAGCCACTGTAAAGAACAAAGTATCAGCAAATCTAAAGATGAAACTTCAATAATTAGTTTCTGACATGGTTTTAGTAAAAAATATATATATATAATTATTTTCTCAGTAAAGCATTAGGATTTGTAAGTGTGTTGCTGCTTTATCCTCAGGTGAACCAGCAGATGTCAGGATTGACTCTGAACGGTGCAGGAGGTCAGATGGCCTTCGGTCAGCCCCCAACAGCCATGGGCGGGTGGGCCTCGGCTGGATCTGGCCAGACTCTGAGCACGCAGCTATGGAAGTGAGCCTGGCAGCGGGTCGATGGGTGGGTAGAGTGAGAGCCGAGGTTGCAGAAAGTGCAAAAACATCCCTTGTGCATCTTTGGACCTCACTGAGAATCGATGGCCATTTCCATCACGGACCAGCCTTCAGAACATTAAACAAAAAAAATTGTATCTTTTTCTCCTTCTCCTTTTTCTGTCTCTCTTTCTCTCTATTGTGTGAGTGAATTGGGAGTTCTACAGGATTTCAGCCTGGCAGTTTCTGCCTGTCGTATGGTTTTGGATCATAAATTTAATTTTCCTTTTTTGGAAAAAAAAATACAAGAAAATAACAGTCCCGACATCGACATATCAGTAAAGCTGCAGGACCAGTTACAAGCTTTTATTGTATCACTGTATCATTATAAGATTATAGAACATTTAAATGAATAGTATTTAACGGGAGAGGGTTTGACTATCAAATCAGTCAGTACTGCTCCCTAATGTACAGCACTGTATAACCTTCTTTTAAAGTACTTGTGGTTCCCCTATAAAATTAAAGTGATAGCAATAATTTGGTTTTTTTGTGTCTTCTGTAAGTAAAGTTTGGTTTTAAATCACTGAGGAGTAAATAAGAGAGGTATTTTTTTTTTAATTTAAGGTGATGGGAGCAAGTCATTCTCATTTACAGGTTCATAACTTGTGGCCTTCTAACATTTTACTTTAGGTCCACATTAAAAAATGCTAAGCTAATTTTTTTACTCTTGAAACAGGATTAAAACACTTCGTTCCTCATGAAATGTCTAATGAGATTATTAAGATCAGAACATAGCACGGCCACCGTATTAAAAATTATCTGGAGGTGCCAGTAATTTTATATTAGGGTTAATATTTCAGAATAAATTACATCTGAACAGAACTTTAAACCTTTTTATGTTGTAGGATGTTTCTACTCTTGTCCACTAGATGGCACTGTTGGACAGCAGGATGCTATTATAGTATGAGCATACTAAACTAATTAGGAACTTTGAACATGAAAAAGCTTCCAAGTGTAGCTCTGCACTGCTTTGAAACGTTTCTTTTCCTCAATTTTATCATTTACTGAGTTTGTGAGGTGCTTAGATTAAAAAAAACATCTCAGTCACTCCCAAGCTTTTGCAGGTAAAAGTTTTATTCTTGAAATTACCATCCATCATCTATGAACGTTATCTCCAAGTAGCTGCAATAATAAAGTTTTCTGTTAACGTTTAGATGCTGAGGAAATGTGCTGATGATGCATGCTACTTGTAGCAGCTCTCTGCAGTTTATTAAAAAAAGCTACAGCTGTGATAAACGACTGACACAAGGAGCAACATCTGCTTCTCTGTGGGCTTGAATCTGGTTCAAATATGAGTCTAATCTGAGGCGTAAACAGTTTGTCTCAAAGAACCAGCACCAGGTGGCAGTAAGCTGCAACCTTCGGTTCATTCTACAAAACAAGAAAATGTCATTTTTGTTTTTATTTAATTAGTAGTCACATATGTTTAATATAAATATCCCTAAGAAAAAAGCGGTCTGCCCCCTTCATCCAGCACTGTAATTTGCAGAAGGTGGAGTTTATTAAAATGTCAGGTTTTTATGTAACTGGTGCAATGAATGAGCTTTTGTTAGAGTTTATTGTGGGTCTAAGGAACTCTGTTTGGAAAAGCAGTCATCCCATGTGTTTACAGTCAGAGAGGAAAAGCTGACTCACTCTGCCCCTCAAGGAGTTCTGATCAGAAAAGGTTTAGTTTTAACTTTAAGCCTTTTCGTGTCTTGAAAAGGTTTTGAAAATTATTTATATGTATATACTGTATATTACAGTATATATATAAAGAAATGCTTTAACTACACAAAACATTTAGGCTTTTATTTCTCCAATCAGAGTGTTCACTCGGATCACAGGGAGTTTTAAAAACGTCAAACTGGTTTGAAGAAAACACTCTGGGATCAAAACTATTCTTTGCCTAAGTTTACACCTAAATAGTAGGATCTATTGTTTGTAGAACACTGAAACTGCTGCCTCGAAGCCTTGCATTAATGTTTGTTTTTGCTCGGTTGGTGTTTTGGGTGTGTTTGTTTTAAACCAGTCCTACCTGTTGGACTCCCCCCAGTAAGTCAGAGCCATGTGCTGTGGTTGAAGCAGATACTTTAACAACCTTTGAAGACACTCTGAGGACCAACAAGGAAAGTGATGAAAACTCACTTCAAGCTTGGCAAGGCCTGAAAGCCCTTTTCGTTTATTTGGTCCTGCTCCACTAACTTCTCAGCTCCACTCTGAAGTCCGAGCCCAGTTTGCAAACTTTCACATGGAGGTCTGATGCCGTCCGGTGGATAACTTTAGCAAAGAGGCTCTGCATTCCTCTCAGCGTGAGTCAACCCAACGCTGCTCCAGAACAGAGCCCTCCATCCAAGTGAAGAGCACTTTTTTCTTTCTCCGGCTGCTCGGTGACCTTTGTGACCCACTGACATCAACATTCCTGCTGATGTGGAAGTTGTTAACCTCAAGTTTAACGGCTRCAGTCAGGACTAACTCTCAGCTTCACTGATATGAAGGATTAATGTGTTTTTGAGTAAAATTCCTCAGTGAAAACTGCAGGACATTTAAATAAACGTGGTCAAACTCTCATTAAATCTGGCAATATGTTTAAAACAAGAAGATATGTTTTAAATAGGGCAGTCAATTGATTAATATTTTTAATCTGATTAATCACAATGTAGCTGTGAATTAATCAGGATTAATCTTAAATTTAATATACATTTCTATTGCATATTGCTAAAATAAATTACTTGAGTTATTAATTTTTTTAATGTTTTTATTTAGAAAACAAAATTGATGCTTAAACATGATTTTTTGAATATAAAACAGGACCTAAAAATGCTCCAAACATATTTGAGTCAATTAAATTTTGTGCAGAATAATGAGGTTAAATCAAGAATTTAAGGATTTTCATTCCAAATGAGTACTACATGAGGAATGAAAGATTTATACTAAGGTCACAGTTGTCAGCAAAACATAAAAAAAAATAAATAAATAAATAAAACAAGCCATAAGAAGACAAAAAAGAAAAAAACTGTACATAATGTATTACACATGGAGTTTTTATTTTATTTTATTTTATTTAACCTTTATTTATCCAGGTAAACTGTTTTAGAACCACTTCTCATTTGCAAACATGACCTGGCATGCACTGAGGGCATTGCAATATCCAAACCTACATACAGTATTCAGCCAGAGTAAAGTGATTGTAAATTTTAATAGCGATTAAAATTTTTAATCTATGTCCAGCACTAAAATTAATCAGAGTTAACTCGATTAATTTCACAGCACTAGTTTTAAACAAAATGCTTTTCATTTGAACTCAGAAGTTGAAGCAAAATCCTAATTCTAGCTCAGGTTTGAAGGTCCTCACCAACTCGACTTCCAAATCTAAGATTCTCTCCTGAAATGATCTTTACAGTTATATTTTTCCTCAATTATATTTCATAAAATCAGTAAAATATGCTTAAAATGCAGAGGAATGTGTTGTTTATTGGCTTAAAGTGCAAAAACTGTATAAACAATGAGAGTGAGACTGAGCCGAGATGTGACAGTCGGGTTCAAGTTGGGGGTAGCAGGATTAAGGATCCGCTCCACGATCTTGCTTGTTTGTAACACTGATGAACCGGCTGACAGATGAGGTCAGACCATGGATTATGTTTGCAGATGAAGTGAAAGAAGAGAACCTGGAGAGGTGCAGGAACAAGAGTCAGTAAACATGAGACAAAAATACATGTATGTGCTGTAAATGAGAAGAAGACCTGTAATAATGAAGCAGCTGGAAGAGGATTATTAACTCCAGCCTGGTCACAGAGCATATCTGCGGGAATGAGCAGGAGTGCTCCAAAAGACGGGTTCATGTTGCTACCAACAACTCAGCCATGGTTTATTACATAAACAGTGCAGAAAGTGCAGTTTGTGTTTGGTGGACTATTTCTTTGTTGTAACAATGCTTCTTGGAAAAAAAAAAGTCTSATGTTGTTGGAAAGCTGATTAAATTCTCTTTTAAATAAGGCCACATTTGTAAGGAACATGCATTTGTGGGTTGCACACATAAAAACTTTGCCAAATCTCTGCCAAACAACTTATTCTGCTGTTATGGACTCTTGTTTTGAGTTTCAAGAAGCGTTGATACAAGAAAGAAAAAAACTACTAAATACAAATTTCCTTACGTTTTGTGTTAAGTATAGCTGAGCCTGAATTTCCCTGCACGGGACAATAAAGTCTGTTTCTATTCTATTCTATTCTATTCTATTCTATTCTATTCTATTCTATTCTATTCTATTCTATTCTATTCTATTCTATTCTATTCTATTCTATTCTATTCTATTCTATTCTATTCTATTCTATTCTAATATTCCAAATAATTATTTGGACCGCAATAAATTACAGGCAATTATATTTTAAACACTGTATTATTCATGTTCTGCATGCCAGTACTTACAAAATTCTTACAAATTAAAAAGTTTTTTAAATTTTAGTCATCATTGTTGTATATTCTTCCTGCCAGTTTGGTGTTAAAGTGATGTCCAGCTGTCTCCCTTCTGTTTCCAGGCTTTATGAAGCAAATCCTTTGTCTTTTCTGTCATCATATAGATTTGACATTAAACATGCTCTCGAGCGATGAAGCCAACAAACACATCTTCTGTGCGTCACAAGTGTCGCAGACCTTATGTGGAAAATATTCTCAGCAACAACAAAAAAATAAATAAATAAGGACAGAAAATAGAATTGATGCTTTGTCTTGAACTCGAGCTGAACTTGTGTTATATGTCAGATAGTTTGTAACATCAAGCGAGCAACATAATCTCTTCCTGGCTCTGAGCCAGAGGCGAGGCAGAGGGCAGGAAGCCACAACAAAGACAAGAGACAGAGACGTGTCTGTTTTATCGCTCTCTTTAATGTAGGCTCGTGCTTCCAGTTTGCCTTTTCATCAACTGATCGACAAATTAGCTCRTTATGTCGAAGCTGGCAACGAACAGAACTAAAACCCTTTAATCCTCAACTTGGTTTTATTGGAGATTGACTCTAAAATCAGAGGTTCTCAAACTGGGGTCCCAGGTCCCCCAGGGGTCTGTGAGAGGTATSTTGGGGGTCCTCAAAAATGTCACTAAATTTGTTGATTTGGTTTTTAATTTTTAAAAATGCATGGAGAACAATGACCTATTAGAACCAGAATAATAAACTTAATAAAAATATATATATATTCCCATGGCCTTTAGGGGTTGAAATGACAATAAATTATCTTTCAAAACTGCATGGGGTTTATGAGGGGGTCCCTGGAATTTTTTTCACCCTTGTAAGGGGTCCCCAGACCCAAAAGGTTTGAGAAGCCCTGCTTTAAATCATGTTTAAATCATATGACTTCAAAGTCCTGTTAGTTCAGACAATCAGCATGTTCTGCTGCTGCCATCGGGTCAAAACGACCTCAGTTTTAAAACTTGTGGGAGTCATTTTGACCAAACGGCAGCAGAAGTGTTAAATTTGTTCAGTGCACCACCGAGTAAAAGCATTAA